ATTGAGATGAGGAAAAGTATATTTAATTTTAACATGAAAATTACTTTGCACACAGACTATTCAAAACAAATACTCAACATATTCATAGACAAATCTTTATTTTAGTTTATTAAAATAATTCACTAAAAAATATGATTTTTTGTATGTGAAAGACATAATATTAACTGAAAAACTGCTAAATTGTTTGAAGATATACGCACTATTTTGAAAATTAGAAGTATTAAATCTATAAAGACTAAACTAGTACAAAGAGGTCATGTGATCGGTCAAATTGACCTACCTCGTGTTGAGAGAGTTAGAGATATTTTGTAGAGTTCCTAAATGCATTGGGGATATCCCATCTATCAGACAAAATTCAAACGCTGATGTTAAACTAGCCAGCAAACATGGAGAGTTAGTTAAGGGTATGGAGTTGAGTGCTTACACCTACAACATATCAACTCCTACTGCCCTTCACTACCTCCAACCAGTTGTGGGAAGGCAGTTACCCTTAAGAGTTCTTATAATTCCTAAGTAGAAATGAAACCACCCTAAAATGTTCATGATGTGAAACTCCCAACCTCTGCCCTTACAAAATAAATCAAATAAAAGTAAATGATTTTAAGTAGAACTAAAACCCTACCTTAATAGTTCTCACATAGTTTATACATTCATAACCTCCTCCCTTTTTCTTAAAAATTTAGTCAAGTATAACTTGGGGAAAACCAAAATAAGCCCAGCTGCTTGAAGTTAATCTTTCTGTCCTGGTATACTGAATAAAATTATAACTTTAAAGTTAGCTACTTATAAATTAAAAGTAGCTAACGACCTCTAGTGACACAAAAAGGTACTTTCCATAATCGAAAGTTTATTTTTTAAATATTTTCATATTTATTATATAACAATGTAAGATATTTATTCAATTGTCAGTCTTTGTTACTGTTATTTTTCAGTTTATTTATGAATAATACAACATTATCCATAAAAGAATTATTATTATTACAGACTATTAAAAATGTTTTCAACTGAGATATAATGATGCCTTTTAACATCATACACAGAATAACACTATTTGGGTGGGTAGACCGAGGAATGGAAAATTAAATTATCTTCTTTTATCAAAAGGAGGTAAATGTCAGTATGAAGTAGTAGCTTTCATGTCATCAGTTTATCTTGGTAACCTTATGAAGAAGCATCCTTCATTCAAGGCAGTAGAGCTGGGTGAATTAAATGATTATACATGTGCAGTGATTAACTACACCAATTAGTATTTTGTAAACTAATCAATTAATGGAAATTTTGATTAATTTGTTGATTTGACAAAAATAATCAAAATTAGGTTTTCCAATCATTTATTGTTTCTATTAACCCTATCGCTGTGGGTCATGTCATATCACATTTGTTGACTCGCATTCAAAATTTTATTGAACTACTATTTCATGAATATATGTCAATACGGTTTGTATCAAATTGTAGATTATAATTCAAATTTTAGTATGATCTATTAGTTAATTTCTTAATTTAAAAGTAAATATTAAAAAAGAAATCCTAAATATCAATTTTTGTGTGTCACGTGGTATGTTGAATGCTTTGGTTCAAATTAGATGCTTCTGATGTCCAAATACAAAGTCTATAGTTTCTTATGAATTAGAACTCAAATTACTGATATTGACAAGCTAAAATTTAAAATGAGAACCCCCTGTCTTTTGTATTTGCTGAGATACCGCTACACGTACTGAGTCAAACGCAGTGGCCCCACCCACCTACTTCTGTATATATGACGTGTGAATAACCAATCGAAAGCTCAGAATGGCCCCAACGTGGTTCTCTGAGCCTTTGCAAAGTGTTTATGTCGGAAACCGTTACTTTCCATGGCAGATTTCAAATGGTAAGTTTAGACTTTAGTGAGCTCGAAATTTCATATTTTTTTAAGACCCAAATACAGCTTAGTTACTAAGCTTGATAAATCATAGTGGAATATTATGGTATTAATGTAGTAATTTATGATTTTTGGTTATTTCAAAATGTATGTGTAAAATCTAAAAAAAAATATTTTATTTCACATCTTACATGTGCAAAATTTGATTAGGCTTAGTAACCTACAGCACATCAGTTCAAAGTTCGTAACTAGAAGATATAATTATTTTCTGTAATTCTTTATTTACTGTTCTATGTTTTAAGAAAAATAACTAATATTTAAGAATTTATTTTAAATAGTAATAATGTATATACATATATAATGTATTAAAACTGAAATGTGACTGTGTTTTACATGTATTTTGAGAATAATTGTCAGGAAGTAATATGTTTATTTTCATCAAGAAAATTCAATGATTTTAGTTCAGTAGTCTTATGTAAGTTTGGAATGCTCATAATCATATTTTAAGTTGTTACAGGTTTTGTAATACTTTGCATGCATGGTACATTTTCATGTACAACAGTTTAAGATAAACAAAATAACTTACTCCTAAATTATTTTACCTGAAGACGGGATTTCTTCTAGTTTTTCATACATTTTTTCCACAAATTTGTAAGGCAATTTGATTTTTTAATTCTAAAAACTTTAAGTTAAAAATATTTTAAAATGATTTTGTCATTTTCTAACAAATTCTATCTTTATCCTATTAAAATAATGTACATAATGTACTGGCTACTTAATTATTTTTAATTGTAGTTGTTATGCGTTTTCATTATGTAATTATTAGTTTATTTTTTTATGGAAAATCAGTGTGAGATTACTGTATATATTTGAAAACAAACATAATGGTGACAACATGGTGATATTTAGTTGACATAAGGAATTCATTCAACAAGTTGGAAATGTCCATAATATTTTCTTTGTACAGGTTGTAGGGGGCATGTACTAATACGTTAATTAAATGTAATTGATTAATCAATTAGTAAAAGCCACTAATTGCCCAGCACTACAAGACAGATATCAGTATGAAGTAGAAACTGCCATGTCAACTGTTTTTCTTGGTAACCTTATGAAAAAGTGTTCTTCATCCAAGGCAGATGTCAGTATGAAGTAGCAGTTTTCTTAGCATCAGTTTTGAGATTTTCTCTCTCAACTGCTGGGTTCTGCATGTACAAATATTAACACTGTTATGAATAAATCTGCTTTATATCAAAATGTAGACCACTGCTTTTAAACAGACATAAAAAATCAAAATTTTAAATAGAAACTTAATAATTCTTTATTTGTGATAAATTTTAGATGTTGACTTGATATTACTATGTCCAACATGTTAAAGAAATACATTTGAGACTTCTGATAAATCTGTACAGAAATTGTAGTTAACATCTAGGATAAAAGATTTCACAGAAGTAACATAACTAAAATTATATACAAATATTTCAATTTACAGATCACTTCAAGCAGCTGATGTCCCAAAGATGTTTAAGAAAACCTTCTAGAAGTTAATGATTTGGGAGTTACATATAATTATATTCATTAAGCTTCCCAATGCTTATAGATAAAACATACTTAAATATTCTTTAGGTGTAATACTTTTGTATAATATAGAAAACACCATTTATAAGTAAAACTTAGTATGAGCACTGCTCTGTAAGTTAAGGCTCTGCTATGAATTTAGATTTACACGTGCTATATATATATGTATAGTTTATATATAAATTTATGAGCAAAAAGTGCACACATTTTATATAAATTCATGAGCAAAAGATGTATTTTAGGTTTTTGGTGTTTTTTTTCTCTCTATCACAGAAACTGAAGGAAAGAGTGCTAAAGGGAAAAGTGAGTTTACCTATTACCCAACAGTGTTGTCGTACAGCTGTTCATGAATTAGCTAAGCAACCAGCAGAGTAGAAAGCTTCCTTTCTGCTGATTTTTCAGTGTTAGATTGTACAGTGTTTCAAGTGATGCATGTGTGAATGCACATTCTTCACCAAAGACACTTTAAGTTTAATATCTGTTACTTAACAATGCCTAACTTAGCAAAGAGTCTTGTATTGCATCAGTGCTGTATTTGATGGAGAAGTTATGCATCATCTGTGATGTTAAGATTCATTGTAAGTCCTATTCCTCAGTGACTATTTCATATTTTAATGTTTTTTAAATTGAAATCCTTAGATTTGTTAAGAATTAAAGTTTTGCATAATAAAATTAATATTAACTCAGAATTAGAAGATTGGCATCGTAAAAGCCAAGACAGAAATAAACAAGCATAAGAACTACATGTATTATAGTATTAGTTTTCTGAATTTCTTAGTTGTATATATTTTAAGAATGGTGTTGCTTTAAGTTGGACACAACTTTTCTCTGTTAATTTTAAACATGTAATGCTTTAGTTACAGTATGAATTTTGAATTGATGTAATACAGGTTGATAGTATTGTTGTATGAATTACATTAGTTTACACTGTTAATAATGGCCATTTATTGTGTAATGATAGTTATTGAGTAATGATAACATTTACCACCATTTTTTTGTGAATTAATTGTTTTCACAATAATTGTTTATTTGGAAAACATTAAAGACTCTTCTCTTGATAGGTTCATTATTTCATCTATATAATTCCATAAGAAAAACCAAAAGTTGCAATATATAAGATCCATTAAGTCTTACCCTGCAAAAAACTGAAATATAATGTTGGACTATGTGAAAGTTTTGTGTTGAAAATATAAATATTGTCCAGCTACCATTTTAAAGGTACTATTAATACAAATTTGAGAGCCAACTTAATGCTTGGTTCCCAATAAAAGTGCAGTACATAAAGAAATACATTGAAATGTAGGGCTCATTTTGTGCAAATATTGTTTTGTCTTGTGCTGTATCAAGAAACTAACTGTTGCAGTTTATGTTTTGAGGGCTAAGTTAATGAAAACAAATACTGAGAAATCTAGTAATTTTAACAAGCTAGAATATTGTGGTAGTCTTGTGCCATAAAAAATTAAATTTTTGGCAACAACCTTTCATGAACAAAAATGTGCCAAGTAAGTAATATCCAATTATTTAAGAAGAATCAACATACCATAAACTCTAGCACAATTTTGCAATGCTTAAAGCAATTGTTTGTAGTTTAGAGTAGGTTATAAGAACCTGTAATGTCAATTTCTTAATAAAACTATCATATTGTTTTAGATCTTAGCCCCTGCACCTAAAATAATAATGTTTACAAAAAATCTACCTCTAAACTATATGTAATGTAGCAAAGAATCACCAATATTGCTACAAAGCTATGCATTGATACACCCCCATAGAGAGTTTCAGTTTTATGAATTTGACAATAATCAACTAAACCCCACAAATTAAAGCAGTTTATGGACATGAAGGGTAGAAACATAAAATTCTGTTACCAAGATATAAAACATTACATAATTAGGTCAGTATAATACAATTTTAACATCTTAATTATTAATAATTTAGGTATCGTTAACTTGGTGTCCTAAAGATAATAAAAAACCTCATATTTGGACATGAAAGGTTGCTGAACAAAACTTAATTATTACAGTTAAAACCAAGCACAATATTATAAGAGTAAAATACTGACCCTGTATTGGAGAAGGAATGTGACTGTACTTTTGAATTTACTATGAGTATCTACACAAGTGTGTTGTTCACAAAAAAATCAGATGAGCTACAATTGCTGACATCACTTCGATTCATGACAAGTCAGGGTGCAAGGTGATGCTCATGTTATGAATATAAATACTTTTGTCCATTGTACAATTTGCATATTACACTTGCATAACCTCTAGAACTTCCAAAATCCATATATACAGTTTTTTTCAGTATCTCTCTATATTGTATCTGATATTTTTCCTCTCTCATGAATTGTTCCTAAGTCAACAGTGTAGGGTCAAATTAATAGTTGATAACTCTGACATCAAATACATAATACCATGTTGAAGGGCACTTTGTAAAAGGTCATGCCATGTGCACTTTGACCCCACCTGTACACATAGGTTTAAATGCCACAAGCAGCTATAAAAACTAACAGAACTGACTTGAAGTTATGGGGAAAGGTTTATTGCATTGCTTATTTTATACTAAGTAACATCAGCAAAGTGGGCTGTCCCCATGGCACTGAAACATGCATTTGGTGTTTAACAAAAGTATTTGATACATTACCACATATTCTTCCCTGATGTATTTCTCATTACCTTGGAATGCCTTTTTCTGGCATCCTTGATGTGAACAATTAATACAGCATACTTCAGGATTTTCAAAATGAATGATCAGTATTATTGAGATTCTGATTTATTACAAAGGCATAAGCATATGATTGGAATCAAACTAATGTGAAGACAGTTTCTGATTTATCAAAATATGAATTTACACATCTTTCTTAAACAAAACACTTGTTTAAACATCACAAAGTAGCTGATTGTTTAGAAGTATAAATTACAGGTATCTCCATACTTGGTGGCACTTATCTTTACTGCCACTGACTTTTGGACTTATTAAACTGCCTTGTCAGTGGAAACAGTAAAACATCACAATCAAATACTATAACTTAATGAAAATCTGCATGGGCTTCTAAGTAGTATGCAAAAAAAAACTTGGCCAGATAGCAAAACTTGATAACTAAAGCATTCTCCAGATTATCTTCATGTAATTTCCACTAGTATATCATAATCTGTAGGAAATTTACCTCATGAATTTGCTAGTGTTTCAATTTTCCTTCTGATGTAAAAATTCAATAAATACCAAAGTCAGTTAACCACCATCGGGGGCATTGATTGCAAATAATAGGAGATACCTTTAATTTATACTTTTAAAGGAAGGCAATAAGATGTTAAGTATTTTCCAGTATTATTGAGAAAAAAAAATATTGAGGTAAATATACTTGATGCTTTTAAAGACAACCATTTTTCAAAGGCCACAAGATTAACTGCGAGCTTTGTTTTGAAAATTGGCAATTTTATGGTTCAAAGTAATTCATATTTCTATGTTGTAAGTATTCTTCCTGAAGACCAAGTGGTTATTAGTCAGGAAAATTAAGCCTGACAAGGATTTATATCGTATTTTTCGGTGTATAAGACGCACTTTTTGACCCAAAAATTTGATGTCAAAATCTGCTTGCGTCCTATACACCAAAGGTGTGAATAATATATATGTATATATATATATGATATGCACAAGCCATGTGTAAATATATTTAAATAGGCATGCATAATTTAGTTCAATTGAATGTGTTATTTATAATAATAGTAGTTATTTTTTCTTTTAAAAACATAACTATTTATAATGCTCCCTAGATAATAAAAAATAAATTATAGTAATGGATGAGAGTAGAAAAAGCTTAGTAAATACACGAT